ATCTATCTATCTATCTATCTATCTATCTATCTATCTATCTATCTATCTATCTATCTATCTATTCATCCATCCATCCATCCATGTATGTGTTTCAGGTTCCACCTCCTTATGCTCCTCCACCTTACAATCCCATCCCACCTGTGACTGTAAGTATAATTCAAACATTTATTTACCTATGTTCCATTTGCAAAAAAGAGAATGTAAATTTTTCAGCCTTGATTATCAATACAGGCAATCCTCGTTTAACATCCACATGTTTGGCAGCCATTCAAAGTTACAACGGCGCCGGATGAGGAGATTCACCATGGGTAGAGATTCACCATTGCAGAACCTCTGTGTTTACACAATCATGATTGGGGTGCTTGGCCACCAACTCACCTTTATGAAGGCCCCAGTGTCCCAGGCAGAGGTGGTATTCAGGTGGTTCAGACCGGTTCTACAGAACTGGTGGTGGAAATGTTGAATAGTTCGGAGAACCGGCAAATACCGTCTCTGACTGGCCCCACCAACCCCATCTATTCTCTGCCTCCCATCGAGTCCCTGCTGATCGGTTGCCCTGCACAGGAGAACGGAGCTGGAAAGCAAGTTAGTCGGCTGGGGAGGGAATGGGGATTTTGCAGTAGCCTTCCCCTGCCATGCCCACCAAGCCACGCCCACCAGGCCATGCCCACAGAACTGGTAGTAAAATTTTTTTGAATCTGACCACTGTCCCACGATCACATGATCCCCATTTGTGACTTTCACTGCTGGCTTCCGGCAAGCCAAGTTACTGGGGAAGCTGGCAGGAAAACAAAAAGGCATTCATGGGTCATTTGTGCTTAACGATAGCATGGGATCCACCTAATGACAGCAAACAGAACTGCCACAGCTGCCATTGTAAGCTGGCACGGTCACGTGACACTGCACTTTAAGACTGCTTCGCTTAGTGACAGAGTTCATGGTCTCAGTTACCGACATTAGCTGTGTACTGAGTATTTTACACCTTTGCTTAAGCAATTGGACTACCATGAGTGGTTCCTTGATCGACCAGCCTCAACTATGAATGAACGGTTCTAGACAAGGAGAGAATTTCCTCATTTGATGAGAACTAGGGCATGCTTGCTGGACATCCTTGCTGAGAATTCTGGGTCTTTTAGCCCTAATTCCTTAGGAGGTCTGATCTAGATTGTCTAGATGTCTGTAACAAACATGTCCTTTCTTCTTTTCCTCAGAACTTTGGTGGAATGACGGTGTGCAATCCGGTAGGTGACTTTTTGTCTTCCTTTTTGGACGTCCTCACAAAATCGGTTGGTCTTGATTTTCCTCTGCAATGATGACCCTTTGCAAGCCCCTTGCAGATGTCAGATGATTCTTGAAGGAACATTCCAAGACGTTCCTTGCAATCAAAGTTCCCCCATCTACTGCAGTGTCTAGTCTGAAGATAGGAGGACTTTGATGGTTTGGAGCAGGGGTCTCCAACCTTGGCAACTTTAAGACTTGTGGACTTCAACTCCCAGAATTCCTTAGCCTGAGGAATTCTGGGCATTTGAAGTCCACAAGTTTTAAAGTTGCCAAGGTTGGAGACGCCTGGTAGGGAACGTTTTTGAACCTTCCTTCGAGAGCCGCCTGTAATCTAATTTCTCTTGGAGATGGGATAGTTGGTCAAGAGACGATGATCAACGGTTGGATTTCATTGGCCCTTGCCTGAAGAAAGATGGTGTAAGAATTAAGTGCAAGAACCAAAAAGAAGTAGAAGGGCAGATTCAGTTTACTTTACTTTATTGTCATTGCACTTTGTACAAAGAAATGAAACACCATCTTCAGTGCGCATCACGACCATGAAGATAAACATAAACACGCATCCTTCACACTCCACACAGTGAATTGTAAACCCCTGATATTGCATTAATATTGCACTATACAGTAGAATTCAATAAAGTTACTGCCCTGGGATAGAAGCTGTTTTTCAGCCTATTTGTCCTTGTGTTTATGATCCTGTACTGACTGCCTGATGGTAATAGTTCAAAAAAAAGGATTCCCAGGATGAGATGGATCTTTGAGAATGTTTTGAACTTTCTTAAGGCAGCGACAGCTATAAAGCTCTTCCAAAGAGGGGAGAGGGCAACCAATGATCTTCTGGGCAATGACATTCACCCTCTGGAGTGCTGTCCTATCTGCCCTTGTGCAATTGGCAAACCATACACAGGTGCAGTGAGTTAAGATACTCTCTATGTGCAGCAGTGGAAGATCACCAGCAGTTTTCCATTCAGTGGTTGTTTTCTGAGAAGTCTCAGGTAGTAGAATCTCTGCTGGGCCCTTTTGACCAGGGCTGCAAGGTGAGCCCACCCCAGATCAGGTGGAATTCAGTGTCGCGGAGATGGAAACAAAGGAAAAATGGATAATCAAGTCCAGGACTCAACTGAGGTCAGGATGATAACCTCCAACTCCACGCGTGTGTGTCTGTTTTTCCTTTATTGTGGCCTTGCTGAGAACCTGGAAATCAAAACAGGGAAAGTTTTAGGACTCCAAAGTGACCATTTCTTAGTTCTTCTCTTATTCCTTTTTCATCCTGATCTCTTTTTTAGGCCACCCCGTTTAATGCCATTCTTTCGGGGCGTTTCTTTCCTTTCTGCAAGATCAAAATTATGGGGAGCATCCCTTATTCAGCGGACAGGTATGTCAACCTAAGGGAAAAGGTCTGGGGAAAAACACCCCCCCCCCCAAAAAAAAAAAAACTCCAGGTACCCCTTGACTTACAACAGTTTGCTTAGTGACCGTTCAAAGTTACAACGGCACTGAAAAAAGTGACTTATGACCAACTGTCACATTTATAACCATTGCAAGATCTCCTGTGAAGGGAACCATCAGATAAGAGGCAGCTTAGCCCTCAGCTGCATAACAGATGGATCAGGAAACTACGATGAGACCCTCCCTAGTTTCTCAGGGTGTAAAAGAGAGGCGGGGGGAGAACTGTCCTTTCAGATTTGCAAGGTTTTGTCAATGTGGCTTTACAACAAGGCAGAATTAGTCCAGCTGGCTATGTTTCCTATCTGGTCTGTTGGGGGCAGAGGTGGTATTCAGCCGGTTTGGACCGATTCTGGTATACCGATAGTGGAAATTTGGATTAGTTCGGAGAACCAGCAAATTACCACCTCTGGTTGGTCCTGCCCACGGCCGTTACCTCTCCTATATTCTTTTGTTTGCTTGTTTTTAGCTCAGGTGATTCGCACAGCAGAGTGGATTGCCGCGCCTCAGCTGAGCTAAAAAGCAGCTCAGCTTTCCAGTGTTGACAAAAGTTGGTCTTTGAGCTCTCCACACACGCATAGCGTGCATCAAGCGTGTGAAGCACACATGCATAGAACCACACATAGAACTACCAGTAGGAAACAATTTGGAAAGCCACCACTGCCCCCATTGCCAACATGAAGGCATCCACATTCACTTGAGGTGTTTTTAGCAAAGGGGCTCGTGGTTCCAATTCCTGGATTTCTTCCGAGGGCAGTTAGGGTGTCCCTTGAAGTAACCCACATACTTTCCTCGGATACAGATTTCATGTGAACCTGAAAAACCTCCTGCTGGGCAACATCGCCCTGCACGTCAACCCCCGGTTCAAAGAGGGAGCGCTAGTCCGGAATTCCTTTATCAACGGCGCTTGGGGAAGCGAAGAGAGAAATGTTGCCTTCCTGCCCTTCTGTCCTGGGCAGGCCTTCCAGGTAAGGGGAGTGTCCTTGGGATAAGAATTTGCTTCGTGGCATTTCAGTGTTGGCCAGAAAACCCGTATCAGGGTTACTTTTAAGTAGCAGGCGAGAAAATGGGAGACCGGGAGTTCTAGTCCAGCCTTAGGCATGAAAGCTGACTGGATGACTTTGGACCAATCACCAGGAGACGGGGAGTTCTAGTCCAGCCTTAGGCATGAAAGCCAATTGGGTGACTTTGGCCAAATTCTTTTCTCTCCAACCCATCTCACAGAGTTGTTGTTGTGGGCAAAATAAGAGGAGGGTTATTAACACACGTTGACCCTCTGTGTCTTTGGCTTTGGTGTAGAGTTAGTCCTCAACATATGACCATCATGGAGCCTGCCTGCCCCTTATGGTCATAAGTGGTGCTGGTCATAAAGCAGCTCACCCACCTGAGTGGACTTGATTTGTCTACCTTTTTTGCAGTAGTCATTAAGCGAAGGGAATGGTCATTAAATGAACCCACTGCTCGCTAGGTGTCAGTTTTGCCTAAATCCAAAAGTTGAATGCTGTTTTTCGGCAAAAAACATGCACAAATTTTCAAAGAAGTCGATATGATAGTTGAAGCCCCTCCCCTTTTTACCCATAATGCATGTTTTTTTAAAAAAAGGGGTTGGGACTTGAACCACTGAAGTTTTCCGATGATATTCCTGGCTGATTCCCATCCTCCCCTACTTTTCTTGCAAACCAAGGATCGTTTAAAATAATCGAGATAAAAATGTCTCCTGCTTCCTTTGACCATTAGCTGGAGATCACCTACCTGGAAAACTGCTACCAGGTGTTGGTGAATGGTCAGCTGAAATTTGAATATGTCCATCGGATCCCTCCCTCTCAAGTGGACCAACTGGAAATAGATGGAGACGTCATCCTTTCCTGCGTGCAGTACTGATGGCCTCCGTGTGAATGGAACGCATCCTGTTTCTGCTTTGATTGACAAGAGGACAAGAACTCGTGGGTTGCAACTCCCATGTCCCCCTCTAGACCGGGGCCCCCAAATGTGGCAACTTTTAAGACTTGTGGACTTCAACTCCCAGAATTCTCCAGCTAAAGTCTTAAAATCGTCAAGTTGGGAGAGCTCTACTTTAGGTGGTCTGCAGGAGGACCCCAAAACTCAAGAACCTAAAGAGTTGGACTCTTCTCCATTCCAAGGTCATTGGAGTATGTCTCTCATCACTCCTAGGCCTGCTGTCCGGAGTGGGTGATGGGTGCTGTAGTTCGAGCAGACTTAGAGCTCCACCCAAGAAATACGGTGCATAGCACCCTAAAACGTGAGCGTTGGTTCTGAGCCTAGCTATGGAGGAGAGCCCAGAGCCGGCTCTTCAGCTCTGCAGGGCCAGCCCTTCCATTAAGCAGCGGGAGCTCCGTCTTACAACCTTTCTTGCCACGGTTCTTTAAATGAATCCCTGCAGTTGTGAAGTTAGTCGCATGCTTATTAAGTGAATTTGGGTTCCCCATTGACTTGGTCTGTCAGAAAGTCACAGGAGGAGGAGGAGGAGGAGGAGAAAGGGAGAAGGGAGGAGGGAGGGAGGGAGGGAGGGAGGGAGGGAGGAGGAAGGAAGGAAGGAAGGAAGGCGAAAAGGAAGGAAGGAAGAAGAAAGGAAGAGAGGGAGGGAGGGAGGGGAAAAGGAAGGAAGAAAAAGAAGGAAAGAAGGTGAAAAGAAAGAAGGAAGGAGAAAAGGAAGGAAGGGAGGAAGGGATGAAGGAGGAATTCTGGGAGTTGAAGTCCACAAGTCTTAAAGTTGCCAAGTTTGGAGACCTCTGCTCTAAACAATCGCCCCACCCAGATTTCTATCACACACGCTTTCACCTGCAAAATAAAAATCGACGCATCAATTACAGATTCTTCACAAGAAACCTGCAATTTGCAATCCTCAGAGATGTGGGTTGCTCCAAAGGTGCTTTTTTCAAGAGGCAACTGGACTTTCTAGTTGTTGTTTTCTTTGAAGATGTTTCACTTCTCCAAGAAGCTTCTTCACCTTCTGACTGGATGGTGGGAAATAGAAGGTCAGCTCTGAAGAAGCTTCTTGGAGAAGTGAAACATCTTCAAAGAAAAAAACAACGACCACCAGGAAGTCCAGTTGCCTCTTGACAAGGCACTTTTGGGATAACAATGACCTGAGAATCTGCCCTAGACACTTACTAAAACAATCTTACAAAAGAAATAGTAATTTCTATCTTTACTTCCTTAGTTCTCACTTTTGTCATTTGATTGCATCTTGTTCAATTATGCAAAGAGGAGGGTTGTTTTTTTTTAAGCAACTCCGTGAAAATAAATTCCAAGGTTCGAACAGGACAACAGATTCTGGATTCCTTCTGTGATTATTCTCTTGTTTCGGTCGAAGTTTTTTTTTATTTTTCAAACAGGCATAACGAAAATACCCATGACGCAAAAGAAGGGTAAGCAATGAACAAGCTGTTGTTATCCAGCTCTCTGGAGAAGACGGGAAGGCTGGGAACGATGGAAGGGCAAAGGATGACCATAGAGGCCAGGCAACACAGTGGTTAGAATACAGCATGGCAGGCTAACTCTGCCAACTGCCAGCAGTTCGATCCTGACCGGTTCAAGGTAGACTCAGCCTTCCGTCCTTCCGAGGTCGGTCAAATGAGGACCCAGATTGTTGGAGGCAAGAGGCTGACTCTGTAAACGCTTAGAGGGCTGTGAAGCACTGTGAAGCGGTATATAAATCTAAGTGCTACTGCTACTGGATTTATATATTCTACTTCCATTACAAAATATGAGGACTGGTGACCTGGTGGTTAGAATGCAGTATTTCAGGCTAATTCTGCTCACTGCCAGCAGTTCGATCCTGACTGGCTCAAGGTTGACTTAGATTTCCATCTTTCTGAAGTTGGTAAAATGAGGAGCCAGATTGTTGGGGGCAAGGTGCTGACTTTATAAACTGCTTAGGAAGGGCTGTAAAGCACCGTGAAGTGGTATATAATTCTAAGTGCTATGGCTAAAATTGAGGGATGCTATTGAAAGAATTGATGAATTCTTAGTTAGATCACCCTGCAGAAAATCCGTTCATGTAATCACTCAGCGTGAACTTAACGGCCTATAATCAACTCTCCTGTCCAAGTTGGAAATCTCTTCTGGATTTGGGGTTTGAGATAGGGGAAAAAAAATGAAACACTGACTTTGGATTTTGTCGATTGGATAAATTTGTTGTTATATAGAAATAGATAGTCCATATTAGTATGTAAAAGTAAGTCGTTGAGGCTGTAATACTATTATTTTATTGCCCTAAAAAGAGTTGTAAATCAATATTTTTCTCCCACCCTTCACTTCTTTCTCGTTTTTTCCCTCCTCCATTTCACACTATTTTCATTTTTTTTTTGTATTCTATATCTTGAAAAAAAATCAATGTATTAAAAATCAATCAATGCTTGTAGTTGACACCCATCACAAGAGGGCAAACCAAAAGCTGTGAATTCTGTTTTAATGAATCAGCAATGCAGCTTTTCAAAATTCATTCTACTGCGCTCCTTGCAATAACCCTATAGAAGAACATCTGCACTCCCAAATTTAAAGAGTGACAGCAGCAACAGAGCCACTGTGTGAAGGTCTGAAGGGACAGATCGCCTATGCAGAATGGGAGAAGGTCCATCTAGGAGCTCACCAAGAATCGATGCCAACTTGATGACTCAAACAGTACGAACTGCTACATCACCTCTCCACAAACATTGAGCTTGTTGTGTTTTACACAGCTTTCCATATGTCATGCCCCAGGTAGAGACCGACTCTGAGGGGGAGGAGGAACAGCTGACAGGGAGTGGAACCAGATGTTGTGGAGGAGGCTAAGGAAGGGCAGAGGCCGGCTGGGCAGTCAGAGGAAGACCCAGGCCCATCCCCTCTCCATCCTAGGGCATGCAGGGAGGAGAGGATAAGGGAGAGACATGGTCTACTGGGGAGGGGAGGGCCTTGATCCTCTTAAGGGGCTGCAGCTGTGACAACTGGATAAGAGGACGGACATGCGTATGGGCGAGTGCTGGAAACAAAGCGTGGAAATATCTCTAGTTTATTGTTCCCGAGTTTGGCGTCCTTCCCAGTGTGTGTTCTGATATCTGTGGATGTTTCCCTTCCAACCCTTATCTTGCCTGGTATGTGTTGTTTTTTTACTCTTTATAATTTATAGGCATTTCCTCCTTCTTGTAACTGCTTGTGGGGGTGTTTTTTGTCTCCAGTCAAGGATATTTGGAGCTTGGAAGCAAAGTGAAGGAATAAAAGGGGCCTCACCTGTTTTTTTGTGACTGTGTTTATTTTGTATCCCACCCTGGGTCATCACAGGATACCACAGCTCCTTTGATTCACACCCCCACCAATGAATTAAATCAGTAATTATTTCATTTTTCTTAGTCCTGCTCAGATCATACATTCCTTCCAAATGAATAAGCTACATGTATCAATGAAGGCAATTTAGCATCTTTGGAACACATTTTCACGAGTCCCAAGTGATGCTGCATTTACATGCTCATGAAGTGCTTCCAACCCTGTGCAATCAAGTCTACATTTTTAAGATATGACGGGAAGCATCAGCCAGCAGAACATATATCTCTTGAAGTGGCATTGTCCCTTTCTCTCCAAAACAGTGAAAGCAGTTTTATTTTGTTCAGTTCAGCCTTAACTTACAAGGGCTGGAGCCAGATTGTAGAGGACCTACTGCGATTTAAGTATATCAAACCGGCAGCAAAGATTTCTTTTCGCTGGACAAATGTTTCAGTCTATTTCAGTTTTCGGCTGAGCTCTACAAGCAGGGGTCCCATCCAACCTCACCCCCTTGAACAACTGTGTGCAGGAAACAGTCCGTCCGTCTCTTAGGTGTGTGCTGAAGGCACCTCTATCGGGATATCCGGTAACAAACTGCAGCTGTTAATAATGTCTATTTTGTCTGCCACGGTCCGTAGGTCGTCCAAAACCAGCCGTATGTTGTGCGAAGCGTTGATGATGCCATTTTGGGAATTGCTCAGCTGCCCCGTAATGGCTCCAATCTCCTTGATGGCAGTTTGGTAAACCTGTTTGATGGTGTTGTGGATGTCGTAGTATAAGCGGGCGTTACTCTCCACCAGCTTTTGCTGTAGTAGGGTGCTGTATCGGCCCCGGTGTTTGATGTGAAGGGCGGGCTTCTCTTCGACAGCGGTGGGAGACTCCGACTCTTCATCCCTGTAAACGACCAGGGGAGGCAAATCTGGCGTGATCCATTTCGCCTCGGCTTTCGGTCCAGAGGGAATTCTGGCTTCGTCTTCCTCGTCTGTTTCAGAGGCTTCCCCAGCGACCTGAAGTCCAGCAGGCTTTTCAAAGGCAGCCTGAGAGGATGCCGAACAATTGATTTCTTCCTCTGAGTCAGTCTCGGAGGCTTCGCCCTGGATGACGGTTTTGTAGCTTGGAGAGATCATTTCTGGATCCCTTGAAAAGGGGAAAGGAAGCACGCTTGAGAATGGCAGGGCTCAAGGAGGAATCTTTCGATTACGGAATACGAGCCACTGGTAGAGCACACCTGCAAGGGAATTAAAGGACACCTCCCTAAAGTCATTATAGTTGTGCTTTTAAAGTTGTAGCAACGTTTCGGCAGTATCTCATCTGCCATCATCAGGCTTCTGTATTGGGTTCGTCTGTGAGTCAGACTTTCACAGCCTGATGATGGCAGATGAGATTCTGCCGAAACATTGCTACAACTTTAAAAGCACAACTATAATGATGTGGGAAAATACCCGAACAAAGCTGAATACCATACATGTAAGTACCTGCGAAAACTTAAGAAAACACACACACACATATATATATATGAAATGTTAGGCTCAGTTGCGGTTATATATTGAGGACTACCCGTAGACAGTTTTGTTGGGACGTGGCTTAACGTGACGTGACATTACCTGGTTGGATCATGAAATCTGCAAAAACAAACCCCTGCGCTTAAAGAGCACCAAGGGACCGCACAGTCCTTGTCATGCCACTGTTGGAGTCTGATTCCGAGGGGGAGGTTGAACAGCTGACAGGGAGTGGGAGTGTGGAGGAAACTGGGGAAGGGCAGAGGCCGGCTGGGCATTCAGAGGAAGACCCAGGCCCACCGCCTCTTCATCCTAGGGCATGCAGGGAGGAGCGGAGAAGGGAGCAATGTGGGTTATGGGGGAGAAAAGGGCCTTGATTCCCTTCATTAGCTGCAGCTGGGAAAACAGGATTTAAATAGGGTGTTTGCGCACAGCACCTTGCTGGAAGCAAAGCATGCATTAACTTTGTTTGCCAAGTCTTATCTGGGTTCTGGCGTCCTCCCAACCGTATGTGTTTCATTATCTTTTGAGTTCTGCAATCCTGCCCTGTCTCGTTAATTGCTGCAGCGTGATTTGTGTTGGTTTTTATTTATAATTTATATGTACTTTTGGTTCGGACTAAATTTCTTCCCTTTAAAAACTGTTCTTGGGAGTTTTTTCTCCAGCGGATGATAACTGGACATTGGAGGCCAAGTTGGAGGAATTAAAGGGACTTGACCTACTTTTGTGACTTTGTTGCTTTTGTGCCACACCCCTTTGGGTCATCACAGTCCTCCTCTTTTCCTCCTCCTCCTCCTCCACTCAGCAACCCCACTCCCTTCAAGCACTGATAATGTTTCTTAGTTGGGTCAAGAAACTTCTGCAAGGAAACCACCAAGCTCACAGAGCACCAAGGGACCCCACATTTTTCCTCCTCCCCATAAACCCCACTCCCTTCAAGCACTGATGTTCCTCTGTAGTTGGGTCATGAGACGTCTACAAGAAAACAACCAAGGACCCCTCATTTCAACCCTGAATCTCAGAGACCATTTTCCATTGGGCCTCAGTGGATTGTTTGCCAGCAAATGGGAGGGGAACCCAGCTTCCTAACAGCGGCTGGGAATTCTGGGCTCTGCCATCCTCTGCAAACCTCGGGGGGGGGAAAGCAGCTGCCTGCCCCACTTGCACACCCGCCCCCTCCACCTCTCTCCCTGTCCTCCCCTGCAGGGCGTGGAAAGGGGAGCCTGGATTGGATTGGATAACCATCTGCCTAGGGTTTCCCTGGCTAAGCGGGGGGAGGGGGGGGGTGGACTAGAAGACCTCCAAGGTCCCTTCCGGCTCTGTCCGTTCTATTTCCTGCGTGCCAAAAAGAAAAAAGAGTCTAAGGCCAGGGGTGTCCCCGCCTTGGCAACTTTTTAAGGCCCCTGGACTTCAACTCCCAGAATCCCCTGGGGATTGGAAAGAGTTGGCTGGGGGGAATTCTGGAAGTGGAAGTCCAGGAGGGGGTGGTCTTAAAAAGTTGGACACAATCCCCCGGCTGGGATTGTTGCAAAGGCCTCCAGCTGCTATTTGTTCCTCTTATTATTGCTACTGTTACTATTCACCCGCCGAACAATCCAGAGAACTCACCTTTCCAACCAGGAAACGACGACTTCCTCTTGGAGGGTCACCTGGCGGATCACGTGACCGTAGCACGTGACTCGCTCGCTCGCTCATTCACCCACTCACTCATCTACGCCCGCTGGGGGGGGGAAGAGATCTCTGCTGCGCATGCGTCTGCAGAAGGAACGGGCTTGGCTCGGAGAGAAAGCCGGTGGGGAGGAAGACGGAAAGAGGCGCGCATGCGTCGAAGGGTGCGCCTGGCTGGGGGAGCTTCTCTGCGCCCGTGAAAGTTTGGGGTCTTGTCTTCGTTTCCCCCCCCACCCCACGCCCGAGGACAGGCTCATCCCTCCCCGCCCCCCTCACAACCCATGGCTGCTGAGCCTTTCCGAGTGCGCAGGCGCTCCAGGGTTTGCAATGCAAAACTTCAAATGCAAATACATACATACATGCATGCATAATAGCTAAGAGTTTGCAGGGAGAAAGAAGCTGGGAAGGCTTTTTTCCCAGAATGCCCCTGCTAGGGTGTGTTAAGATGGGTGGACTTCAACTCCCAGAATTCCCCAGTGTTTTTAAGATAGGTGGACGTCAACTCCCAAAATTTCTCCGTGTTTTCAGACAGGTGGATTTCAAGTCCTAGAATTCCCCAGTCTGTGTTTTAAAACAGGTGGACTTCAATTCCCAGAATTCCCCTGTGTTTTTAAGACAAGTGGACTTCAATTCCCAGAATTCCTCAGTGTTTTAAGACAGGTGGACTTCAACTCCCAGACTTCCCAGCTGTTGTCCTTAAAGATAGGTGGACTGAGCCTCTCCCGGAATTCTGGGATTTGAAGTCCACCCACCTTAAAAATTACAGTAACAGCAGTTGAAATCTGTTGAAGAGTGGCCTGCTGTGGATACCAATTGGCAGAACAGTTTCTTTCCTTCACTTGGAGGATGAATGACCCCAGTTTAAAACAAACAAACAAACAAAAAACAACAAGGAGAAATCCTCAAAATTTGGAGAAAATTTCTTCCAGCACTTCACTGCCTGGAGAGTTCTGGGTGTTGAAGTCCAAGAACGCTGTCTTGGGAGTTCTGGGCATTGAAGTCCATGCATTCTGGCTGTGGCATCCACAGCAGGCCTCACCTTAAAAGCTGATGTCCGCCCAGCTTAAAACATCTGGCTGGGGAATTCTGGGAATTGAAGTCCACCCACCTTAAGGCTGCTAAAGGTTGCTTTAAGGATGAAGATGGCCATTGCAAAAATCTCTTCAATACCCAGCGACCAGATCTTTCATGCTGGTTTTAGAAAGGAGAAGAAGAAGTGTTGATGAGAGCACTTCTTGTACAAAGCCACGTCCTGCCGGCTCTTTTAACCACACAGCTTCCCCCTGTTTACACAGCTAGTGAAGAGTGCGGTGCCGAATCAGGAACCGCAAGAGAAGAAGGAAGAATGAAAAACCTGCTATCCTTAAGCGGTGTAGGAAAAAAAAGGTGTGAAAACGAAACCGCCATGTGCTACGCTGCACTTCCTGCATTTGCTCTGAAGTGGTCAGGCGGAAATCGAGCTGCCTTAGCAGGGTGTCAACAGGTGCTAAGGCACCGAAAACAGAGCAAAACAGTCGGTGCACCCACAGTATATATCTGCATTTCTCCATCTCAACGATATGTAACTGGGTGGACTTCAACTCCCAGGATTCCCCAGTCAGCCATGCAGGGGAATCCTGGGTGTTGAAGTCCACACATGCTGTCTAGGGAATCCTGGGAGTTGAACTCCAAGAATGCTGTCTAGGGAATCCTAGGTATTGAAGTCCAAGAATGCTGGCTAGAGAGTTCTGGGTGTTGAAGTCCAAGAATGCTGGCTGTGGAATCCTGGGAGTTGAAGTCCAAGAATGCTGGCTGTGGAATCCTGGGAGTTGAAGTCCAAGAATGCTGGCTAGGGAATCCTGG